GGGGGGGGGAGAGAAACGTTGATGTGAGAGAGACACATAGATTGGTTGTCTACTGCACGCGCCCTGAGCAGGGCAGGGGATCGAGCCTGCAACTGAGATACATGCCATTGGCCGGAATTAACCCAGGACCCCTCAGTCCCCTGGTCGACTCTCTAACCACTGAGCCAAACCGGCTAGGGCAGCAATTTTTTAATAGTACAATTCATATATAAAGTTTTTAGAAGTTTTTAGATTGTTGTAATTGTAAAAGTAAGGGATAAGGGAGTAACTAGAATATGATCCTGTGTTGAAATTCTGAAACAAAAAAATTACAGTCTTAATGGAAATTTATAAAATTAGCAGTTTATTATAATCTGCAAGCATGAACACTGGATTTGGATTTAGAATTATTTAAAGTAGTTATTAAATCAAGGATCTGATTGAATTGAGTCCTAGGTATCAGTGCTCTCCAAGTCTTTACTTCAGCATAGACTTCTCTTGAGTTTCAGGCTGCCACCTACTCCTAAGTAGCACACAAGAACCTCAAGTGATTCAAAGCTGATCTCATTTGTGCTGCAAAATCTCTTCCATACCCTTGGTGAATGGCAGTGTCAGTTACTCCTGTCATCCTAGGTTTGTCCTGCCTCACACACCAACCGGTTAAACTCTTTATTTTTTTTCACATCATCTCCTTTAATCTCCTGTTGTTTCAGGCTCCTAGCAGTTCTTAGCTATTTGAGTAGATTTTTGATTTTTATCTCTGGCCTTATCTCTAGTAAATCCTCTGTTTGCCACTAGAGGTAGGTTTTCAAAAATACTAAGTATAATCATCTCTCTTTCCTGTTTAAAGTTCAGTGACTTCATTTCTTTTAAAATAAAATAGTATGTTTCCAGCCTACCTTACTAAATATTTCTCTTTCTGTTGCATAACTCTTAACCTGTACTTAGGACCAACTGAAGTCTTTGTTTCCTGAATGCTCTGGGTCCTTCCATGTGTTTTTACCTTATAAGGTGTTGATTTCTTCTAGAAAAACTGCACTTCCATCTGAGCCCTTCCATCGCCACCTTTTCTAAAACACCTATTGCACCTTGGTATGTGTAAATTAAGGCACTTGGCACATTGTATTACCATTTTCTTGTGAGTCTGGGACTTGTACATACACAAAGATAACATTCTGAGGATTATGGTTAGTTTTTATTTTATCATCTCAACATATTTACATTGGTATTTTTTCATGAAAAATATAAGAAATGTAGGTGTTTTATCTCCTCTGGTTTTCCTTCCCTTAGCATTTTTGTTGTTAATATGGTTGTTAATTGTTTCCTGCATATAAAAATATTAGCTGCCAAATTTTTTTAATTCTATAGAAGAACTGTGAGAAAACTATAATTTCTGGAATGCCAACATTGCCGACATTTGATGCATTTCTTTTCACAGCATTTTACTTCTCTCTGCCTATCTTTCTGAATCTCTTGTTTTTAACAGTTATTGTGAGGATGTAAATTTGTTTCTGAAACAATTTTTAATGACTGCATGATATTCCATTATTTAGAGTCACTATCAACTGAATACTATTATTCAGAATTCTATTTCTAAATTTATAAACTTAGACACTGTTTATTTTTTAATAAAGATCTTTAACCCATTTGTAATCCCTATAACAACTAATATATGATTCATTGCCATATTTTTTTTGTAATATGGGTTATTTTCTTCCAGTGATGTTTGGAAAATACACATTGTGTTTCTGTTCTAGATAATTACTTTTTTGTTCTTGAAGATTTTGATGCCTTTTAAATTTTGAGAGTGCTAACTTACCCATGAAAAATTTGGAACATTTTGGGTTTTTTTGTTTTTTGTTATTTTTTTTACAAACGTCTGGTTTCTTATAGATGTAATTTGGGATTTTGACCCAGGTTAATATAAAATGGTTAGTTTTTCAAATATATTTTATCCAAGGTTTTGGGGGGCATTTGTATTGATTTATAACATATTAACAAGTTGATTTTTTGACTGGTATAGTTGCTTACTATTTCTACATCTCAGTTCCCAAATTTTTGTTTTGAATCATCTCTGGCTTGGTTGGAAAAAAGTCTTTGAGTTAGTTTTTCAGTAAGGCTTTGTGGATAATATGTTATGCTATTGCTATTTGAAACTATCTCATTCTGCAAATTAATGACAATTTGACATAACATTTTAAGTTTTAACCTTTTTCCTTAAAATTGCTCCATTGTTTCCTGGCATTCAGTATTATAGAAAAGTGTGAAACCCATCTTATTTTAGTTACTTTGTGGGTAACTTTAATTTTTCTAGATGTTTATAGACTGTTTTCTTAAAATTTAAATATTTTACAAAGATATGTCTAGGATGGTATTCTGTTGTTACTAGTTTTGTCTGACACCCAATGAAGTCTTTTAATCTGGAAGATCAACTTTTTCAGTTCGCGAAAGTTATATTTTATTATTTCTTTGTAATTTCTCCAATTTTTTTTTTTTTTATCCTGGGAATCATTTTGTGAGTTGACTGAATTTCTTATAATTTCTTATAATTCTGTATCTTATTACTTTAAAAATTCATTGAGCTGTATTGTTTAACCAGACCAAACCAATACTTAGGAAAGGGTTACCAACTAAGTTAAATTATGTCAGATTCAGTAAGATAGACAAAAATAAAGTAATTGAAATAATTTTCTTTCATAACTAATTTGTATTAACACAAAAGTTGAAAAAGTAGTTTGAAAGACTTGAAGACCTTTATTTCCTATGCAGGACATTATTTTCTTAGAAAACCTCTTTTCCGTTGTATAAGGAAAAACTTCCAGTCTACTTTTATTTTATTATATTATTTATTTATTGTATCTTTATTGATTTGAGAGAGAGGAAAGGAAAGGGAGAGAGAGAGAAACATCAGTGATGAGAGAGTCATTGATCGGCTGCCTCCTGCACACTCCCAACTAGGGATCGAGCCCACAACCCGGGCATGTGCCCTGCTGGGGAATCGAACCCACGATCGCCTGATCCTTGGTCAATGCTCAACTGCTGAGCCACACCCGGCCGGGCAAGTCTAATTTTAATCAGAGCTATTATAAATCTCTAAATTAATGGTCTTAGAATGAATGAAGTATTATTTTGGGTTCTTTATTGTTATACTTGCACTTAATTTAATGCTGTTAATGTTTTTACTGTTTGTGTCAGTTCTCTCAGTGAAATAGAAGATTCTCTCCCTCCTGGAAAAGCAGTACTTTATACCTGGGCCGATCCAGTGGGCTCTCGGAAGCTGAAGTGGAGCTGTGGAAAGAACCAGGGGGAAGTGACGCAGAAGGATGTATGTATTGGACTGATTACCATGGTGTTCTCAGCAGCTTGCTTTGTTGTTTTTAACAGTATTCTTTTTCAGCCTTGCTAGTTTTAAGTCTTGTCTTATGTGTACACTTCTAAAAGAAACTGCCAAAGAATTTAAAAGCCATATTCAAACTGTAACTTAACCAAAAATGTTTAAAACTAGAAGTAGTCTTATTTCGTCTACATCATTATTTGCTTCCATTATGTTATAAAGGTAAATTGTGCTTAGGGAGGTGCCTTCAGCCTTGACCTCAAACAGATACACTCTTCATTGATGGTCGTCTTGGGTCATTTTCACTTCTGTGAGGTACATCTAGGGATCTTCTAACTAAAGCAAGCTATTACTGATTTTTTTCACAATGATAAAGTTACACATAAATATTTTCCAGTAACATTTTCAATGGCTTTCAGAAATTGTTTCGTTAAAATTTTATTTGTCTTTTAAGGTACGTCTTAATTTGACCCCAGTTCCAATGTCTTTTTTATTTGATCTGTTGGTTAGTACTTTTGCATATTTATGTCATAATGATAGTTGAATTTTATAAAGCTAAATCTGAAATCCACTACAAAATATTAGAAAGACTTTAGAAATACTTGAAAATAAGTTATTCTTATTTCTCAATGTAGTTTTACTGCTATAATCTTATATTAGAAAGAATTATAGGTAACATAACTGTTCCTAGATATTGATTTTATGGTAATAACTCCAGTATTTAATTTCAGTGGATTATAACATGAATGTGTACTGTATATTAAAATTTCTTCTTAATCAGAATATTTACTTTACTAGAAATCCATGGATGACTGTTAATTATTAGAATTTGCTATATTTATCGTGCCATTGAACCTCAAGACCCCGATATCAGCACAATGCTTATCTATAAGGACTTCCTGCAGAATTATTCACCTATGGTGAATATCCGTGTTTTGTAGAGCATGAATTGAGATGTCAGATATGCTTTATCCTACTTAATTCATCTCTGTAAGGAAATATGAATTTTTGACTGAAAATGTAACACAACACATTGGTTAGTCTTAGAATAAAGGAGCGAGAAAACAATACTCTGTGTTATTGATAAGCCTACACAGGAAGACTATTTAATTAGATTGTATCAAGATAGTAAATAAAAGAATAATTGATGTGTCTTCCTAACTAATAACTTTATAATAATCATAGCAGAAGCTAATATGATTCGAATTATGTAAATTTCCAATGTTACACATACTTTAATTCATTTAGCTTATTCGACCCTATGAAGGAAGTGCCATTATTCTTCTCATTTTTTAAATGTGAATTAGATTTCATGCTGGTTGGTACCAAACTCTTAATTTTTTATTTTTTGGTGGTTTTATTTTAGGATATGATGACAGCTATAAATTTGGGGAAAAAGACTGTTTATTTAGTTTCATTCTTTGAAGGCTTACAACGCATTATTTTATTCACTGAAGATCCAAAGGTATTTAAAGTGACATATGAAAATGAGAAAGCAGAATTAGCAGAGCAAGAAATTGTGTTGGCATTACAAGATGTTGGACTTTCTCTCGTCAACAATTACACAAAGCAAGAAGTAGCCTATATTGGCATTACAAGGTTAGATGCATTAAAATTTGGATAAATATAAATGATGAGTTTTTTATCATCAAGAATGGTGATTGTACAATCTAAAATAATTTAGTTTGTAACTTCTTTGGATTAGCCATTGATACTAAGGTAATGCTGATTTAAAAATGCTTGTGAAAGTTCTTTTCCCTTTGAGATAAAGATATATAAAAAATCTAATTTATAAATCCCTCTTTATGTTCATTCTCTCATCTCTCTAAAAAGTTATATTTATTCAACTTATCAAAAGTATACTTTATTTAACATGTTATAAGGTCATCCTACCACAATGCAGGGTACATTGTAGATGCTCCTTAAATAGTTGTTCAAGGAACAAAGATAATTACATTCTAATTTGACCTTTGCACTTTAAGATCTAATAAGGTAATACTATATTATTCCCCATATAAGTCACCACTAGTAAAACTCTTTTCTTTCTCTATGCCCTTAATATTCCTATTCATAGACACTTAAAGTAAAATTAATTTATGCCTATTAGTGCGTGATTTGAGAACATTTCTGGATTCCAGTCGATATAACCAGGATAATGTAGTTTCAGTCCTTTAACTTAAACTCTTAAATAAATAAATGTATGTCTGTATGTGTGTGTATATATATGATATATAATACAGATTTAAATTTGTTTTTTTCTGTAAATGCTTCTAGAAACGTTCCTGACTCTTCATTGAAAGGGATCCATTTTAAAAGGAATATTAAAAACTAGTTTCTTAAAAATATTTATTGTTCTTTAAAAATGTGTTTATTATTTAAACAAAAATGTCAAATAGACAACAGATTTTAAGCCTGTTAAATCTGTAATGGGCTATGTCCTATGCTATGGTATGAATGCAGGTGGAAATAATACATAGTTCCTACCTTTTTTAAAATTAAGTGAATATAAATTTTGGAAGGAATAAACAAATAGAGGACTTAAGTAAAATTAAATAACTGACATACTAAAATAGAAAGTGTAAAGTAACTTTAGAATGTGGATAGATTTTTAAATTCTATATTTAATTATTTCAGCAATTTTTCAGTGAATTAGATTTGTTCCATTCGCTCTCTCATTCTCCTAGATTGTTTCACATGCTGTCTCTTTTTAAACCCCTCTCTCCATTCATTGCCTTGCATCCCATTTCACCGAGAAAACTGAAGCAATCAAAAAGGAACTTTCAAAGACCCACCCCCAGTATCAGCTTCCTACTCCCCAGCATTCATTACCGGCGTGCTGTGCTGACATACTTCCTCGCAGTTATCATACTACATCATGTTCACATAGTTAGTTAGTTAGTTA